TATGCCGCTTTCGTACTAACTTATAAGATCCTAATGGTCGAATTTAATCACTATAGAATGTTTTAAGTAAGTAAAATTTATAATTAATATAAAAATTAATAATATGACAAGATGTAAATATTTGTTGCGCCATAAATAATCGTAGTTGTAATTAATTAGATACTATTACTTTTAGTTTTTTATTACAAAATATAAATTTTTATACCTTTTTATATCTTTCTAGACTAATAGAAGTGTTAACTTCAAATTGTAATGCAGAGTGTATATAAAAAGATTTACTCTGAGTTGTAGAAAATGTATCCTGAAAACGTTTTTGAAAATTTCACATCACAAGCATGTATAATGTATATTATAGGTTCCTTATACAGCATTACATTATCAATTTTATTATATCTTATGAATTTTCAAGTCGTATCAAATATTATATGGTATACCTCTCAAGAATTAACTTTCATAAGTTCTGAATTTCAAACTAATGTAAAAAACATTTTATTTTCCGTCTTTGGGTTTCAATATACTGTGTATTGAATTCTGGTAATTCCGGTCCATCGTTATTTTTTTTTTTTACGACCAAATGATCAATAGAAATATACGATGGCCAATAAATGGTTTCGGACCATTTGCCAAAAAACCCCTATAGACGATTTGGCCCTCCTCGTTCTTGCACGCAACGACATTATTAGGCTCCTACCAGGTGTAGATTATTACCCGCTGCGAATATTGGAACTCATTATCGTTAAAAGCCCACCGTACTTTTTTGTTTATTTCTCACTGGAGTCCCAAAATCATTGTTATTATGTTTTCAAAAACACATTCCAAACCTTAATCGTCTGACCTTCATAACACCATTATAACTTTTGTTTGAAAACACATAAACATAGTTTTATCATATATGTACTTGTACCGATAATTACGTATTAAATTTATTATTATTGTCATTATTATTATTTTTTCATTCTGTCATAAGTCTATTTTGTTAAACATTACGTATTTATAGAAATAAACTATATGTAAACATAGCATTTATAGACAATGCACAAAATATTGTTCAACTATTATTTAATTTTACATGACAGTCAATTTTAAATCTTACAAACTAAAAATAGTTAATATCTTGAAATAGTCAATTATGTTTATAATATTTAAAATATTTAAGTGACAGAAAAATGGGAATTTTTACGCAAAAACAGTTTTCGACCAAATCGATTTTTTTATATGGTTGTAATTCAAAAACTAATCACTGTAAATACTTGAAATTTTCACTAAATGTTTATGTTAGTGTTATCTATATACAGTTTAATTTTCAAAAAATATTTCGTAGTTCAAAATTCATAAAATTGTTTGTATTTATATCTAAGGTTAAAAAATGCAACACTAAGTTTTCCATAAGTGTTGCTTCAAATAGCTATAGAGAAAATTTGAAGCGTCATTATAGGAAAAATGTTTTGAGCGTTTGAGTTTTAAATTTTTATTAAATCGCTTAATGATAACGATTTATCCTCAAACCAGGTATATGAATATCTATAATACAAGGTATTATGAATTATGATAACTACATGCAATGTTTTTGGAAAAATTGATTAACCATKCCTTATKCAAAAWGYGTYCTAATTAAAAAATAAAATATTTGTTTCAAAATAGAATATATGGCAATATTCAAATAATTATATTAATATATCCTAGACTGACAAATCATCTCCGTTCAGAATCGTTTTTCGTATACAATGATACCTATCATTGCATTCAAAACTAACCTACCGTAGTCAGAGGTCCCCCCCCTAACCTAATGTACAGCAGAGTGACATCCACTTACCTACTTTTTTATCCTTGGATATCAGATATAATAACCACGACGAAAATTCTCTACTTTCTGAAAGTTTTTGTCGTAATGATGTCAATCCTTTTTATTTTTTTTTCTAAATTTATAGGTAATTCGTTGAATAAAAATCGTTAGTAAAATATAAACCAAGTATGTCGATGTACATACATTATATTTTATATCATAATAGTTACTGTACAGTGAGTACCTTATAGGTACCCTAATAGTTACGAAATGTATAACAGCCTATGACAGTATAGAAGACCAATTAATGAGTAATTACGCTACCATGATGGGACTATCACCGATGTTTTCAATCTTAACCCCATCGTGTGAATACCTGAAAGAGTGGAGCCGAGAGAGTGGGAGAATTTACGGAATAATAGGACATTTAAGCAATATGGACGACGTGCGTCATCAGGATTATATATATTTTTTCGCTTGAGTATTTCAATGTTTTACTTATAGTAACTTAACATCTTTAAGTATAGTAATTAATACATTGTTTTTATGAAATTATAAGCTGCACATCATCAGTTTTAATCACTCGATGTATATTTTTAAATATAAATAACTTTAGTGGTTCGTAAATGAACGAACTGCGAGTACAAAACAACGGAATGTACAAGGTTTAGATGGGCAAAATGTGTTTCCAAATATACGAGTATATAATTATAATTACACTGTTACGGCGTTGCAGTCGTTTTTTTACTTAGCTCGAGCGTTACGAGTTTGGCACTGGATCAAGAAAAAAACGGTCGTTTTTTACCAAGTCGAAATGTAATTAATTTTACGGTAATCACGCTATTGACATAAATAAAATACGGGTTAAACCGTATACCAACCAGGTATAGAGAATAATAAACGACCACCAAAGTGTGTGGGTACTGTATAGGACCTATTAAAACTTGTATCATAGTTTTGTGGTTAAAAAAAATAAAAAAAACTTTGGGTGAGACAAATCACGCGGCCATCGTATATAGGACATAGCAGTACATATATACATTAACATGTTTTGCGTACGTTTAACGAGCCATTTCCTAGAGCATTGCATCAGGAATGTATTAATAAAATACCACGTTGGACATGAAACTCGGGTGTAAGCGTAACTAGTACCTAAGCAGGACTCGTTATAGTTGTAGAGGGATTAGTTTATACTGATACACGCGTTCAATAAAAAAAAATTAAGTAATAATTATGTTTTTTTTAGTGAAAAAATAAAATTGGAATATTGTGTGACGAACTTTACCCATTATCGGCACTGACAGAAATTTCACTTCCAAAAACATAATTTTTTTTAAAATCATATTTGCTCCCCTCCCCCACTCAATTTCTAACTTTCTAACGCKTATTTTGTAATAATAACAAATATTTAACATTTAAAATCTTTGTATATGTTTTGTGAACATTTTTCGTCCATCATATTAAGATAGAAATCATGATACAATAGAAATAAAAAAGCTTAGTGCTATCATAAGTGGTTGTTAATTATTATTTTTATTTTTTTTCATTTAAAGCCTCAATAACAACGACTGCTTACATTTTAAAGATACAATATTAAACTATAAATTATTTAAATTGTTACATTATGGTATGTTTGAGAGTATTATACAAGGAATAAAAGTTTAGAAAACCAAAAAAAAAGACTTTATAAGTGTATAAGGTTATAAATTGTATGATGTTTCTGCAGTTTTCAAAGCTGRGTCTAAATGCTTCATATAGGTGATCCAGTTTATTTATAGATGTTTGGGTATCGGGCTAGTTACGGCAGTGTAGGATAATGTGTTTTACGGTTAGATCTTCCCCGCAGGTTAAGGCATGGTCAGGATCATCATGTTTCATGAGGAAACTATAATTAAGCCACGCGTGTCCAATTCTTAGTCTATTGATTATAACTTCATGACGTCTTTTAGTGAAGAGTACTGGCCAAGAGTTAATAGAAAATTTGATTTTGTTCAGTTTTGTCTGTGACAATTTTCCAACGTAGTTGTCACTGTTGCAGTATAAGATAATATGTAACTCCTTTGATGTCACTCAGAGAGCAAATTTGCACTAAGGAAGCTTCAGGGGAGTTTATGACTCTTTTAATTATTATTACACCATAGGATTTAATAAATTAAACTAAATAAATGAATTTGAATTTTATTATAATCCATTTTTTTAATCGATATCTATAATATTATTTCATTAGATTTATCATATAATAACTGAAAACATGAAGAGAAATTTTTTTAAACTTATATCAATAATTATTATTGTAGCATACTTCATATTATTTTAGCTTATTAAGTACATAAATTGTCAGTTGTTCCTGTTACACTCTGTATTTCTATTACCATTTATTTTATAATATAATATATGTTTTGTATATTATAAAATCAATACGCTCTATACTGATGGCACTATAATATTATGCACCTTATTTCGAGTGATTACATGGGTAGTTCACATACCAATACAGTGAGGTGTTAATTATTATTGGCATATCATAATCTTTTTTAATTCAGCACCTATAATAGTTTTAGTATCGTATTTATAATAGGTGTAATGTTTATTATTATGATGGTACTATAACCACAAAATACTTATAACTAATATCATGCAATAATGATCACAGATATTTTAATATAGAGAACCAAATGTAGAAATGTTATTAAAATCAATTAGGTACCTGTGTTGATTATAATATTATGATGATACATATTGTAAATATAAACAACAAAAAGGTTCGAAATAAGTAATGTGCGGAGCATAACTTTACTATATTATTATTATTTTATCATAAAAACATGCAGCKCTTTTAGATAGTTATTAAATCAGACCGCAAAATAATATTAAATAACGTGATACAATGAAGATATTAACAAGACTGCAAAAAATTCGTCCACACACAATATACGAATTATACAAAGCAGAACAATTTTTCAATTATTTTTTGTTTTAACAAATCAATCAAAATTCGTTTTATTTTCGAAGGCCATTGAATTCTTGTTTTTTTACAATATGTGATAGTGTACATTGTAGGTACACTATCAAATTCACTTTAACTATTAAATCATTTTTCTCTCAGTAATATTTTTTATTAAATACGTTTAAATTTTACGTTAAAAAATATGCTAATTTCTACAAAACAATTTTGATGTTAAATAAATTATAATATCTAGTAAATTATTGAACTTACTGTGTACTCGTACTGAACTATTCGCGTGTCCCATTGAATTTGTTGCTAAACATCTATACGTCCCCAGATCATTTTTATCCAAATTCTGAATATTGAGATACATATTTACTTTGTAGTTGGTTTTAACTTCTTCTATAAAGTACTTTGGCCTATAAAATAATAAAAAATAACCATAACATTAATAATGATGCAAAATATGATTAATTAATTAGGTCTGTTTTCGAAATAATATAATTATAAAACGAAGTTATGAGTGTTATGACTTATGACTACATTATTAATATAGCTGGTCGTCTATTGGATGTCACATTGGTTTTGTATTGTCAAGTAAAGGAGTAAATATTAGTTAGTTAATGTTACTGGAGCACTACCGATATTGTGGAGTGATAATATTATACATTACCTACGTGATAGTTATGTGACTTTAAGTTATGACTTAAGTTAGACTTTAGTTATGTTATTTAAGCTGTTAAACGTTGTCGCCTAACTCTGATATTATGATTTATTGGTGACTGATAAATACCAAGTTAGATTATGCTCTAATGCACTTCTTAATTATATCGAGTGCTTACAATTATAAGTATATTATAATATGTTATCATTATATATATACAGAGTATCCCACAGAGATCTGACATTCTGACAAATGAAATAACTTTTGTTCTAATCAATATTTTTAAAAAATRTCTTTTAAATATAATTCATAGACACTTGCGCTACATTTTTTATTTTTTAATACTGAAAATAAAATAAAATTGATAAAAATTTTTTTCGAAATATTCAATATAACCAATTTGTAAATCTGATTTTTAGAAAAATGTATATGGTAAAAACACTTATTTAAGTCAAAAGGCTGATATTTTAAAATTTTTTGAAATATCAATATTTTCGTTAAGTAAATTCCGATCTAGTTTAGAGCTGCTGGTTGGCCAGCTGTTATTAGAAACCTTGTAATTTCAAATAATAATAAATTTTTTTTTAAATATTTTATAAGAACATTTTTAAATAAGTGCATGTTAAAATCTAATTTTTTTTTAATTGTATTTATTTTAATAATATGTGATGTATAAACTATAAATTACTATAATTTACCTAACGAAAATATTGATATTTAAAAAAATTGTAAAAATAAGCCATTTGACTTAAACAAGTGTTTTTACCATATAAAGTTTCTAAAAATCAGACATACAAATTGACTATATTGAATACTTCGAAAAAATTTTTTATCAATTTTTAAGTTTTTATTTTCAGTATTAAAAAATAAAAAATGTATTCTAAAAATGTAGCGCAAGTGTCTATGGATTATATTTAAAAGAATTTTTTAAAAAATATTGATTAGAACAAAAGTTATTTCATTTGTCAGAATGCCAGATCTCTTTGGGACACCMTGTATAATGACTACCAAAACCTAATATATCGCTGTTATACATAAAGCTAAAAATGAAACGAGACTTTGATCTTGCACACGGGTCTTATTTTTTGCACCTAAAATTCCAAATAGTTATATTGTTATAAATGTTGTAAAGTAACAAAAATAGTCAAATGARGACTTTTGATGGGATATTTGTTTCGTGTAAATATATGTATGTATGTTTTAGCTTTTGTACAATTTTTATTACAATAGGTAAAACACAGATACCGTAATAGTGGTTCAACACCAATGCATTAATTCCCTAATATGTATAACTTTCATACTCGAGAACAATAATTTTTATTCCACATGAATTCTGTTTACCCCAACCAGTATTTTGTAAGTACATACAATATAAGGAAGTAAATGATTTATTAATAATAAATAGTATAAAAAATATATTAATCGATCTGCTGTACAGTATATGTCGAGTATAACTTCTTGTAAGTCAATTTTAAATGTTTGTGCATTAAATTTAACTTCAACAATAAATAATGTATATGAAAAATGGTTCTTATAACTAAGATGATCTGTCAAATAATTTGTTTACCTCCTAAGTATACCAACTCTATAGATTAATATATATTAGTTACATAATTTACATATATTTTTTTTATATTATCTATTACGTCATTCCGAATATATATTATGGGTGTAGTAAATTATAGGTATACATTTTATTTTTATTCCTCAATCAATATACAGAAATACTCGTAGTAATAAATCGTGATGGATCAGATCGGTGTTCATTAACTATAGTAATACTAAATGCTTGCTCAAAAGGCTAAAAGAGTACCATATAGGTTTTTTTTTTTTTGGTCTTAAAAACAAAATATCATACCAATTTGTTTTCCTAAATTACAAAGTGAAAATAAAAGATATTAGAACTAATTTAGAAGTACTTTATAAAGTTTATTAGTTTTTAAAACTACTATGGACATCATTACATGAATATTGTGGATTCTGTGGGCCCATGTTGCAATAGTTGAACTCCGGTTAAACCTCGGAATCCGGCCGGTAAAATCAGTGGTTCAAGCATAACCGAGGTTTAAACTATGATTGTAAAACGGGTCCTAAGTGGTCTCGCGGACAATAGTGAGCTCATTAACCGGTTAGTATAAGATAAATATACCTATCTATTTGGTTCTACAAAATGCTAATTATAATATATTACAAAGTTAAATGATAATTTTTTGTTGTAGTATATGTCTACGAAAACGAATATAGAATTKTATTATATTAATTTTACTATTTATTGAAATATTTTACCAACGCCTTATTACTTTCCTTTTATGTTTTCTCATTATAACAAAATATAATTTATGTTAACTAATTTCACAAATTAAAATAGAGGATATTTTAGTTAAAGTTAATAACGCCTTTGATGTTTTTTATTATTATTGATTAAAAAAACTCGTCAGCTATGGTCATTAGTTCCAATTTAAGTAGGTGGGTATTTACAGTTTTAACAAATATATATATATGTATATTTTTTTTTTATAGAATACAAAATTAAAGATCGAAAAAAGAGGTACAGATAGTTTACATATTTTTAAATTAAATTGTAGAAGCCTGTTGCTTTTAAAAATTGCATCATCTTCCAATTATCCTACTTTGATGTTTATAAATGTAACGAAATTTTTTTACTATTGCTACTTATATTATATTACTCATAAAATAATACTTACTTAAAACATGTTATAAAATAATATTTTTTGAAATATATATACATATAATTTTTTTTGTAGCCTTCATTAATATAATAACAGTTACTGACATTACTTGAATGAAAATAGTAGTTTTAAAGGTTAACATAAAATATACATAATACATATGGTCATTTTATTTTTTGGAATATGCAAATATTGAGATAGTGTTCATAAAAATAAAATAAGTTAATTAGTTGCTTTAAAAAGTAGAGCGTTTGAACAAAATACAATTCGTTTCTTTATAATATTCTTATACCTACAAAGATAGGCACTTAAAAGAAAATAGCAAAAACAGTTTTAATATCTTAAAAGGTTGTTTTCTTGCTTTAAAGTATAATAGGAATCCTTATATTATAATAACACAATAATGGTTGAATATTTTTTTTCAACATTTTATATTTAAAAAAAAATGAAAATAGAATTACTTTTGGTGCTTTATGAATAAAAAGTTTGCACTTCCAGAATAATTTTATCTTAAAAAAAACTTCAATTATTTATTTTCCGTCTAATTTATCTATTCTGTTTTGTAGATTATATTTTAATGAGCTTTCATGACCCTGAAATACTATTATATTCACATCATATTTTATTCAAATTATTACCACAAATCATACAATACCTTTGTTTAATAATGTATGTATTAATATAATTATGAAAAATACGTTAAAACTAACCAGTCTGTTAAAAAAAAACTATGTTTTTTTTTTATAAATATTAACTAATTTGAGTCTGATTCTGACATACAAATATGCATACCATTATTAAAACAAAATAAAGATAAAAATAAGATAATAGCGAAGGGTTATTTAACTATTTTAGTATATTTTGGTTTTATATTTTTATATACTAAATATTCATACTTAATTCATTAGTCTTTATTTAACTATTAACAATAAACGAGCTTATAATATTAAAATACCAATGATTAGAATTTATGAAGATGGAAAGACAAATTATTTTTATTAGAAATAAGTAGAAAATAAGTTTAGTTAAATATGTTCAGTGTTCACATAATTGTATGCTATATGTCGTAAATACATCGTTTGCTTTTAGTTAAAAATTATTCAGTTATTGAAGTGTCTCTGCTATTGGTCATGCGTCCACTATGTATAGTAATATTTAATAATAAGTAATTTCGATCATTACCTAATCATATGGTTTATTCACGTGGAGCCATTTTCTTATGGTGTAATATCTATTATTATCGCCAAAATAATCTCTTATAATAATAACTGTTTATTGTTTACATGCAAGTTTCACATAAAAATATACGATTCAGCAATAAGAAAGATCAGTATCGTGTTTAGAATAGGGATGTACATTATTTTGCGGTGGATTAAAAATACTGTAGGTAAGTGATTTTTCTAAGTTTTTACATAATATGATAATTATAGGTAATTTTAAAATAGAACTTTTTCATCTTATCACCACCATCATGGTATCACATGGTATATCTGCCACCGAGTGTGTTTTTTTCGGATATTGCATATGGATCCGTACAACGAGGTAGGTTACCTACGCTGAATCCGGGTGGACGGGAGATCTTCGTGGCCAAGAAGGATTTGAAACCATCGTAATAAAAGGGAAACCTTAATATTATACATTATATATTATATAATAATAATATTATAGTGTTGGCCGAAAAGTGGTGGTCATATATCATATATAAAACCATCGTTTAACAGACAATTTCCGACCCTTTCCAACCTCTTCGTTGTATGCGCTGGAGTTATCGCGCGACAATTTAACAATAATAATATTTATATATATAAACTCGATAATGTATGATACGCGTRGTTGTGTGTGCATGTGTATGTGTGGACGCATTATATGTCGCATACTATTATTATTATATGGACCGCCATGATAATGGGAGGGGGGACAGTAACGACATGTGGCGAAAATAGAATAAAAAATAAAAATATAAAAAGTGTGGCAGCTAACTGCATACTCTGCATCGTGGAAGAAGAATGATGACGGTCGACCGGCGGCGGCGTCGCGATGTGCGTTAAAACGGTTTCATGCGTCC